CCAGAGATCGCGTCCTAATGGCAGCCAGAGATGGAGTATTTTTTTAATATGATTACTTTAGCTCATCCATATTTGGTGATAAATCATAGCGTGTGCTTACGATGCGCATCCACAGAGTGAGTCCATGCTCACAGGACAGCCATCACTCACAGGAGTAACGTTAGGGAGATGCCTGCTTTCTTAGAGGACGATGGGAATACATAGAGTAGACTATCAATCATGTCCTTAATGCAGACCTCTGTACATTACACACAGTATGTACTCCACTCTGGTTTCTCTTTGTAATTCAGAATCAAAGATGTACAAACACGCACAAGTGCACACACAACCTCAAACTTATACACACATAAGCACAAATATACACACAACCCAAACATACGCACACAAATACAAACAACATATACAAACACATACCACAAACATACGCACACAAACATACAAATACAACAAGAGACAGTCCATTAACACCTGGATACTCCATGATTCTGTGATAAGATGCCCGTCACACACAAGCCTATGTGTGGTATCAAACAGTATTTATTTTAGTACCACATGCAGCCACCCAGGAATCGAATCCTCATTAAAAAGAAAAAGAATTAAGAGAGAACAGTCCTAAAAATGACATACGTTCCATAGGAATGTTCCCCAAACCCTATTTCCACCCCCTTCACCTCCGCCCCCCAGTAAATAATCCTGTGGTTGCGTTAGATGGATAGCGACAGCTGTGGTCTTTCCGATCTGCTCCCTGGTGATTTAATTCACCTGCTATGAACTCGTTATTCCATTGTGTTTGTGGGGGTCCTCAGCAAACTGGGGGATCAGAACAGTTTAACATGTTTATTGCACGCTATGGTCTTTTTAAATAGTTTAGGCCAGGTGGGAAATAAACAGGACTGTCAGAACCACAAATAGTGGGCGCATGGTCTAGCCTCAGTCAATCCACGAATGCCATTTGTGAAATAAAAGGGAGTTAAATGCCATAATTATACCTGTTGTACAACACAACTAAATACGTTGGCACGAAGAATGATCACAGGGTTAATCCATTTACTGATACACAGTGTGATTGACGCGTGGACAGGGGAATGGACGTTAAACAAGCAGGTGTTATTTGGTCTTTTTTACGGTTATCCTGTTGGCGAAATTAGGTCACACAATAAGGGCCACATACTACACAACAAACAATCACATTTGTCACCTTTTTTTTGTATCTGAGTGTATATTCCAACTTTTATTTTCTGCTTTGTCTAAAATCTAAGAAACATCATCTTCATTCCATTACATAAAACTGATAGAATAGAGACGATAAGTGTAAATGTTATACCGCACTTTGTGAAATTAGACAGCTATTTTACAGTTAATAAGAAACGATATTAATGCATTCCATGACTGAAGAAGATGAAGATCACTTTTTAATTTTCTTTGGGGGGGGGAGGAAGGGGTTAAAGTTTGATCTCTCGGAAAGTGTGTTTTAATGGACTTGGCATCGATGTCACAGATCTGGGAGGCCTCTTGTAGATTTCACGCTTTTTTACCTAACAGCAAAACAGACATTAATTTCACAGCTTAGTCCGTTTATTTTGAGATCCCCAATTAAGGATCACTAGCACCCAAACCCAGCCCTGACCGTCTCGCAGGGTAGAACTGTTTATATTACTATAAAAATGGACTGTACAGGAAGCAGAAGTGGAGATTAATTACAAAGTATACAGTCCCGATTATGTGTGTTCTAAACTCTCTGAATCCAAAGAGCAAGTTATCAGCAGAGGGTCCCTGGCCTAACGTATGTCTGGGATATTGATTGGGGCTTGTCAGAAGACAACCTGCATTACAGAACTCATTTTGCTGAACGCTCCCTTGCTGTCTGTGAATATTATCTACTGGTCACGCAGATTAAGGGAATGAATTGAAATGAATCATTCATTCTGTGTCTGTAAATGCAAATCAGACTTTGGATCAAATTTATGCAAAATGTGTTGCCATATATAAATGTGTATCTATATTGCATGCAGAATCCTTCGAAGACGCACATTGCGCATACAGGGCTGTAGAAAAAGCAGCAACAGTGAGCCTCACACCTGGGTAGATTTTCACGTAGAACAGGGCACAAATGGATGTTGTAAATGAAAAAGTGAAATTGAATTAACAAATTAAAAATATAAAAAAATAAAAATATTTAACACCTGCAGCAAGTACAGTATTTTACCCCAGAAACACAATATTGTAAACAACATAAATGTACAACGCAACTCAATCTTTTCAGTGAACATGCACGCAAAGATACATTAGTAGCAGCAAGCGTCACCCCCATTCTGCGGCAGCCGATCTGCTACAAATAGAAACCAGGCTCTCTGCAGCCCACGCAGTCCATAATAAAAATGGGAATGAAATAAAAACAATTGTTCTGGATTACTTACACTTGGAATAAAATAACATGGTAAACGCAATATTACTGAACTCACACATGGCGCGAAAACCATATATATAACGTGCAGGCGTGTAGACCCATCCCCCAGCGCTGGAAACCCAGAACTGCCACCCAAGGTTAGCTGGTTTTAGATTTGTTTGTTTAACAGATCTTATATAGCGTTTTACAACATTTTAGCATTTGTGGTATAGGTATAGTTGTATACACATGTTTCGGTCAAATCGCTTGAAAGATAATTCACAGAAAATGGGGTAACTGCACCCCAATACTCCTTGCACCATTTAACCATTTTACAATGAGCTGCAGTTGTTATGGTGCTTAACGTGTAAATCTCCCCTTCCCATATTTTTAGAATTATATCCTCTATATGTTACAAATATGTGAGGAGATTTATCAAAGTGATCTAAAGTACTACAAGTAGAGCAATCACCATATAAACCCAGAGGAACTAGCAGGCCCATTATTACCTCTCCATACGCAAAAACCCTGGGGGCATTCTACATACTGCAAAGGAAGTCTTTTTTAGCTCGAGACCCTGTGCCAGTCTCTACCAGTGGGCTTAGCTGCCCATGTGGGACACATTCACTGGGTATGGGGTGGGCCGATATAGATCCCCCCATTCTCTCCCAAGTGCACTCCTGGAGCATGTAGACTTTCATCAGGCCATGAAGAATGCCCCATCAGCTTTCTCTAATGTAGAGTTATGACTTCACCATGACCTTGTGATTCCATACAGGAATAACCATGCCCCAGGCAGTTTGTTAACCTAAAGGGAAAGTTGCCTGTGCCCTAAAATGCCACAGACATCACAGCTTGGCATCCAAAGATGAGTTTGGCTATGTAAACCCCATTCCCCGACACCCGCCAGCTCTATGCCAGATTGCAATCACCGAGATAGATTTTCAATGTATTACTTATAATATGTAGTTGAGTTCTTTATATTTACATTGCTACAATTTTTAAAAATCTTTTCACTTGTTTCCTGCTGTATATTTCAATATTAATAATAAAAAATAAATAATCCTAAAAAAAAAAATAGCTCAATGAGATTCCAGTAAAAAAAAAAAAAAATCTACTAGTTCGTCTTTTTATTCATAGAAAATTCAAATATGGCAAAATGTTCATCTCCCAGCATAGTTGCCAAGTGTCCTGATTTGACCAAGATAGTCTTGATAAAAAGCAGAGCAATTTTCACATGTTGTTGTGCTTTACTTTAAATAGGCCACAGCATTTTGCCAACCCATAGCCAGCTGGAACATTACTGTTACATGATATAAACAAAATCATGCAATGACATCAATAGACTTGTGCCAACTGGGTTTCATATGAATCGCCATTCATCGAAACTTTGGGCTATCGACAAGTGGTTCACATTTCCTAATCGCCATATGACCTAATCCCAAAACAAACTAAATAAGTAATGAAAAGTTTTGGTTGTTCAGAGATTCAGAATTCCAAAAAATAGAGATGATTGAGATGTTAGGGGACAATCACAAAATATTAATTTTATTCACAGATCAAGTGAGACTTTACCCATAAATGGAAAAAAGGGAAGAGGAGTATAAAACAAAATATCAATAATTAGATATGTACAATAAACTGTTCCTCACTTGATCTATGAACCAAATGGGGAGAAATGCTCCTCACAATATACGGTAAAAAATATATATAGAATGTTACGATTATAGAATGTTAAGATTACAGAATGTTACGATTATAGAATGTTACGATGACAGAATGCTACGATTATAGAATGTTACGATTATAGAATGTTACGATGACAGAATGTTATGATTATAGAATGTTACGATGACAGAATGCTACGATTATAGAATGTTACGATGATAGAATGTTTCAATGACAGAATGTTACAATGATAGAATGTTACAATGACAGAATGTTACAATGATAGAATGTTACGATGATAGAATGTTACATTATAGAATGTTACAATGACAGACTGTTACAATGATAGAATGTTACGATTACTGAATGTTACATTATAGAATGTTACGATTATAGAATGTTACATTGTAGAATGTTACGATTATAGAATGTTACGATTACATGTTAAGATGATGTATATAATTTGCAGTACCATGGGAATAAATACCACGTGGCATTAACATCTGTTTTTCATATTCTGGGTTCACCAGATTACTTCAGTCACTATATATACCCTCGTTTTTCTCAATGTTTGCCATCCTTTATGGGGGCCTACCAGAGACCACTCACCCGGCCTCATTACTCACTCTTCACCCCATATTAAAAGCAAACGCCAGGGCAGGGAGACAAATCCTCCTTTTTCACACTCCGGATGCAGGCTAAACTAAAGCCTTCGCACGAGGGCCTTCAAGATAGCGATCGTGATTCCGGCGATAGCCATGACTCCAGTCCACAGACAGGGGACACACCTGAAGGTCATTTAACCCCTGCAGTCCTATAAAAAATGCTGGACTCCCAATCTTCCAAACTGATTGTACAATTCCAAGCCTCAATCAAAGAGATGCAGAGAGATATCCAGGAGATTGGAGGCTACACTACTCACCTCAAATCCAAGATGGACAAACACGTGATGGCGTACAACTCTGGGGCAGATGCGCTGCAACATATAGAAGACAGACTGGACAAACGTCAGGCCACGCTTACAGACCTGGAGGACCGCTTCCACAGAAACAATCTGCGGTTGAGAGGGATTCCAGAGGCTACCTCTATAGGTGAGCTACCTCCATATGCCTTGGCAATGTTCCACGCTATGTGCCGTGACATACCCACAGATATGTTCCCACTAGACAGGATATGCAGAGTGGCAAAAGCTAAGACGGCTCCACCATCTGCACCCTGAGATGTAGTGTTAAGAGCTTACTACCATCACATTAAGGAGGAAATCCTGAAAGTGAGTAGAACAGCCAATACTCTACCCGGAGACTACACTTCCATACAGATCTTTGCAGACATCATCCCGGCCATGTTGGCCATGAGGCGCAGTTTTGGGTGACAAACTCCCCTTTCTAGGAGGAGCCTGCTTGCCAAACTCCTGCCCACAGACTATGGACCCTGTGAAAAATAACATGAAAGTCTCTGTTCATGCAATTGGGATTATATGGTTTGTTTACTGAAAAACAACACAAACCAGAGACCACCATGGAGCTTGTTAACACCTATTAACAACTTGGAACGTTTCTCACCGCAGTGTTCTAATTGTGTGTCTGGGTGGCTGCAATTCATATAGACAACCTATCAGGGAATATGATTTGTGGGGATATCATGTGTTTTGGGGTACTTCTGGGACTTTTTAGAAATGTGTGTTTTTTCTGCCTGGAGATGATCGGGTTAATGCAGTATCTGATCTGGTTATCTCCCAGGCAGAGGGGAGGGATTGTGTGTCGTGTGTGGGAGTGCCTTACATTGTAAATGTGTTATTATTGGTTTGGAAGTTTGTGTCCCTGTTCCCAACAAGGTCCATGTGGGCGTACCCCTTGCTTGGGGACTTGCATAAAAGGCCAAGTGTGGCACCATTAAAACCTATTCCAGCTTACACTCCTAAACTCTGTGTAGTCCTGTTAATGGAGGGAAAGAATATTTACTCCTGTGTCTGCTGTTCCAGCTTGCAGGAGATTCAACGGGGAAAGTCCTTGTAAGAACTAGAGCTCCCAGGACTGAGTGTCGTCCAGTGCCAGGGGGTGTCTAGGGCAAATTCCCCATTCAGCTCCAGGAAGGAGCGGTTCCAGGTCCCCAGTCAAGCCACAGCGATTGTGGGCAGAAGTGCTGCGGTTTGTCCCCTGATCCAGTTAGGAAGCGGTCCTTGGCGGAGGTAACCAGTCGGGGTACAGGGAGCTCCGTCACAGGGGGGATGGAATATCCTTAAGGCTGGCAGTTACGTTGGGGTGGCCCCCTTGGGGTCGTTACACCATACCTAAAGAACTGCATGCGGATAGTATCCCATAATGTCAAGGGGCTGAATGCCCCGTTTAAATGCCACATGCGCTATAGAGAACTTAAGACACCTCAAGGTGACATTGTATGTCTCCATAGACCCACTTTAGGAAACTAGACCTGTGTAGGTTTCAGGTCAAACAATTTCCCTATCAATCTCACTCCACTTCAGAGTCTAAAGCGAAGGGAGTGTTCTGTAACCAACTGGCATTTTCACTCAAAGAAAGTGACAGACCCCAAGGGCAGATGCCTAATCATAGTAGCTGACATTAATGATTCTATATACACGATTGTGAACATGTATGCGCCAAATGATTATCAACAGGGATTCCTAAAGACAGTGTTTGCTAAAATCGATCAGATCCACCAGGGAGTCTTGATCTTGTGTGGAGACTTTAACAGTACTCTAGAACCACACTTAGACACGTCATTGGCAAGGACTGTCTCCAGGGCTAGGAGCTTGACGAACAGGGCTAAAAATATGGGTACATTATTTCACTTTTACAATCTATACGACACGTGGAGGGCACTACATCCCGATGACAGGGAATATACATTTTTCTCTCATGTCCATAACTGCTACATGAGGATTGACAGGTGCTATGTCCGGGGCCCACAATTACCTCAGATTGAGGAATGTAACATAGGGACTATAGAGTGGTCTGAACATGCGCCGGTGGCACTGACAATCTCTGACAGCTTTTCCTTTAAAGGCAAATCACCGTGGCGCCTCAATGAATCGCTACTTCAAAATCCTGACTGTGTAAATACCATGAAAGAGCACCTGATGCTATATTTCTCTACCAATGACGTACCTGGAGTTTCCAGGGAGTTGATATGGCAGGCACATAAGGCGGTGGCAAGGGGGTTATTCATTAAACAAGCCTCCTACATTAAGAAACGTGCCCTGAGCCTAATGGCTGACTGGACTGCACAGCTGAAGGTGTTGCATAATGCCAATCAGCTGAATCCTACTATCCAATTTGGAGCAGATATCCAAAAATTACATGGGAAAATTTCAGAGGCCAATTTAAAATGCACAACTTTTACCTGAAAAAAAAAATCAAATGTCCCATTACTCTCAAGGGAACAGGGCGGGAAAAATTCTGGTGGCCAAACTTAAAGACCAACAAGAATGCAATACATCACCTCGAGAGGGAAAGAGAGATTGATCACCCCATCAGCAATTAGCAATGAATTTGCAGCATTTTATGGCAAACTCTATAATTTAATCAAGGATAGCGCCTTTTATCATGCCACCACGGCAATTCCGAACTCTAAGCTTCCCTGGGAAATGTTGGCGGCCACAGTGGTGACGCTCCTCAAACCGGCAAAATCCCCTACGTGCTGTAAGAACTTTAGGCCTATATCTTTACTCAATTCGGACGCAAAATTGTTTGCGAAAATTTTTGCTAATCAAATTAAATCAGTGCTCCCTATGCTCATACATCCCGACCAAACAGGCTTTTTGAAGAGTAGGCAGGCGACTGACAACACCAGAAAAGTTCTGGACATTGTGGACTCGATGACCAGAGAGGGGACTGGCGGTCTGATGCTTTCTCTGGTCTGAACGCATAGAAAGCATTTGACCGCCTAAGTTGGAACTTCTTGGAGGCAACCCTGAAGATGTTTAACTTTCCAGATGCTTTCCTGGATTCGGTAAGAGCACTGTACAATATGCTCATGGCGAAAGTGACACATGGGGGTTTCCAGTCGGAACCCTTTGCCATTACGAATGGCACCCGTCAAGTGTGTCCATTATCACCCCTCCTTTACATTTTAGCCTTGGAGTTGCTAGCCATTCAGATTAGGGCCAATACGACTATTTCTGGAGTTAAGATAGGGTCTTATAAATTGAGCATGTTTGTGGACGATATCTTTTTGACAATCACAGACCCAGCTACATCCCTACCAGCTCTAACTGCCACGTTGGGTCGCATAGCAGGGACAAAAATGATACTACTCCGGAGGTTGCAGTTTATGTTCCGCTCCCTACCAATACCACTACTGCCCTCTGTACCTCTTGTTGAAGGTACAGAGGGACTTGGACAGGTTTATTTCCGGTAAAAGCAAAATGCGCATCCCCAAAGCCACCGAAGTAAGGAAGGTAGTAAAGGGTGGGCTGGACAGCCCGGACCTCCAGAAATACTACCACGCTACCCTGATAGGTCAAGCAATTAGTGCACATTGTGCCCATAAACCGCCCCAAATGGGCAACCAATGAGTCGCACTGGTCAGTCTAAAACGCTATCACAACAGCTATGATCAAATCGTGGGATAAATTTAGAGACAAATTTAACACATGGTCCCCAGTCTCGCTAGCTACCCCTATTGGATGTTTTAAATATCTAACCTCCACATTTGACATTAGATCATGGGAGGGCAGGGGAGTAACCAACCTTCACCAGTTGTGGCTGAAAGACAGCCTTGCTTCATTCCTGAAATTGCAGGAGAAGTATGAACTACCGCCCTCTATATTTTGGTCGTATTTATAGATGAGATCGGTATTACAGGGTCTGCACCATGCTAGAGCCCCAGGAACCCTGACTAAGGGAATGTCCATCATTGAGCAAATGTGTGTTAACATGTTACAGAAACAGAAAGTCATCTCGGTGTGCTATGACACTATAGTATATGACACTGATAACAGGTTGCCAATGTACACAAAGGAATGGGAGAAAGTTGGGCCGAGCGATTCCCCAGAAACAATGGGAGATGGTATTCAGGGCTCATAAGAAAAACACACTCATTGCGTATCGCATTTAGAACTTCTGAAGAAAATTCTGACCAGATGGTATCTGGTGTCAACACGATTGGCCCACATGTTTAGCACAATGATAGACAGGTGCTTTAGGTGCAGGGTGGAGAGGGGCACCATGTTCCACATTTTGAGGGAGTGTATGGTTATCAAACCTTACTGGGACATGGTGGTCGAAGTAACCTCTGGGGTGTTGGACACACCAGTTAAAGCAAAGGATGAGTTCTTCCTGTTGTTTAGGTTTCCGGCAATACCCACCACAGACCAGAGGATGCTCATATTCCAAGTATTAACAGCGGCCAACCTACTAATTGCAAGGGGATGGAAATCCCAGTTGGCACCAATGCAAGGCGAAGTGATACGTCAGGGGTCTTTAAATGGAAGATGCGAAAAGATGGCTTATCTGAGCTCAAACAGACACCACAAATCCATAGAAGGATTGATAGAGGTGTATGGATGAGTGAACAGGTGGGCCAGCTGAGGTGTTGTTGGGGTTACTCACCCTCTCTTCTCTTCTTCCCCTTCTCTTTATTCCTCCTTTGCTATTTTTTCACTCTTTTCTTTCTCTATCAGCTCTCATCTTCTGAGTAAATATCACAAAATGTATGTGTAGGCATTTCTAAAGACTAACCAGAGAAATGGAATATGGAACAAGAAGTTGGCTAGTGACAGGAATACAGTGTAACCTTAAATAGTATGTGTTGTGCATGCTCAATCCCAACGATGTGAGATGTTGGTTACACAGGTGTGTAAAGCGGTGTAATGATCTAGTATGTAAACCCTATAGCGGAAACACGAAGCGGGGACTGTCCACCAAGTGTCAAGGCAACACCGCTGTCTTTGTATTGTATGATATGCTTGTTCCAAATCCACATCTAATAAAAGAAATAAAGAATAAAAAAAAAGATGGACCTACAAAAAAAAAAAAAAAAAGTGCAAACGCCAGGGTCCTCTTTCCCAATTACCACATTGACAGATAAAGTCACCGAACAAATGCAACAACTGTGATCACTGTTTTTCCAGCACGTTGACTCATAACATAATTCTGACTTTCAGTTGATAGGTCTGGTGTTGTATTTACACATCTTTTTTATCCGTGTGTAATAGTTTAGAGGGTTTTTTTTTTCTCAAGTTGGCTTGGACTGAACTGCCAACAGCTGTGGTGAAGTCTGGCAGGTCCCAACTCCGACCTTTCAACCTTTTGCTTACATTACACATGCTAAGACTTTGGCAAGACTTCAGGCTTTCTCCCCTGTCCATGGTGAGAGTTGGGCCAGCTGCATGCCTTCTCACAGCCTGGGAAAATACATCCCCCCTCATCGTAACACACTCTGATGTGTCAACTTTTCCCTAGGACTCATGAAACTCGAGCACTTGTCCTCCGACTTTCTCTTTACCTATACGAGTCTATTGTTTCTATAAAACCCGAGCAGTTTGAAATCTCTCTAGCGAGGGATCTTCAAGCTTTACGATGCTCTGTACAGCTCTATAAATGGATGCCAATGCTGTCACTTCATGCAAGAACCTAGAAAATCAGTGTCATTGTGTTTTCATAAGTTATTGCCAAGAACAAATATGTACAGTCAATATATTGGTAGCAGTTGGGAATCACTCTGTACAAAGTTTCAGTATTGCTGTACTCCGAAACAACAAAAAACACTTTTTGTTACCTCCCTCGCCCAAGCTGCCGTTAGCCATTGTCTGAAGGCAGTTTGACCACTATGGGTGAATGTAATATGTAGTTTTAGTGTACTTTGTATCAGACGTTAAAAACTGCTTAATCCGCATACAGTGCAGCAGTGAGGGCTGAGAAGGTGCTGATCATAGACCAGCTCACAGCTGTGTTGCTCCATAATTCAATTTTGTCCTGTGCTGTCCCAGTATTCAGAGGTGTCTTTTGTTTCTTTGAGTTCAGAAATTTCCTGGCGGCACAGAGATGTCTTGTGCTGGCTCAATATTTAAAGATACCATGCTATCCCATCATTCATGCTATGCTGTCTTTTACTTCACTGTTGTTCTCTTTTGTCCAGGCATTCTGAGCTGGCTTCTACTGTGACATAATTCTGAGCTGGCCGGTACTGTCCCATCATTCTGAACAGGCCGGTTCTATTCTATCATTCCGAGATGGTCATTGCTGTCCTATCATATCGAACTGGCCGGTGCTGTGACATCATTCCGAGTTGGCCGGTGCTGTGACATCATTCCAAGCAGGCCGGTGCTGTGACATCATTCCGAGATGATCTGTGCATGTCTTCTTTTGTCCAGTTATTAAAAAATATTCATGTTAACTGTAAAAGGCTAGGCCCATTGGAAATTTCCTGTAAATTAGGTTGTGCTGGTTATTGTCCAGTCATGTTGCACAAGCTTTAATTGCACGTACGATTGTAGGGTTTAAAGTGCCGTAGTTACCCCTTGGATCTGCTGACGAACCTATTTTGGAGCATTATAGGGACCACTCCTATAAAGAAAATTATTAATAATATTAACACCAACTAAATCCTACAGTAATGGAGATAACAAGATG